CCCTTAAGTGTAAAAGCAAAATTTACACTAGTTATATTAATCAAAAAAAGAATACTCATATTCGAGGGATCTAATGAGTTAGACAAATACGTTAGAGAAATACAAAAAAGCAATAGCAGTTTAGTAACTATGAGCAAATGCTTTAATTGTTGTAGTATCGTTGTCTGCCTTGTAGGTGAGACTGAGTGTGAGGATGAGAATAAGGTTGTAGGCACATTCTCGAAGCAGGCAACCGTACTACAGGACTTAGAGGGACTTACTCATTGTTTCTAAACTGCTATTGCTTTTTTGTATTTATCTAACTTATTTCATTAATATAATTAGTGTAAATTTTGCTTTTACACTTAAGTGTTAGAGCTTCTCATTACGAAAAAGCTTTTGTTCTTTTATAACAAAATTTTCGACCAACTTTCTCTTCGATCAATTTTCGTATCGACTAATTTTCGCTTTGACCAATTTTCGTATAGAGCAATTTTCGTAGACCCATTTTTTTTATATGATAGTAAAATGCCATAAATAAAGGCTCGTATTTAAGTGTTTTTTAGCCATCAGAATTTTAGTTCGAAATGAAACGAATATCATATATAAAAATTAATAGAAAAATATAGATTAAGTAGAATAATCGATACTTAAAAGAAGTTTTCTTCAAATTTCGATCCCTTATTGTTTCGTTTACATTTATAGTGTTTTGCTATAACATTCAAGAAATTGACTTTCGCAACAATGAAACCATATTTTTCAAAAATCCTGCATAAATATTTTCCTAATCATATGACAAAATAAAACCTAAGAGCATATCTTGTATGATTTGATGCTTTTGGTTTTTCTATCAATTTTTTTGAATTACCGGTGCAATATAACTTTGTAATAAATCAAATGAATTCATCTAGGTATAACGTCTATAATATTGATTCACGTCAATTACATTTTTCTTTATCTCTTCATATTTATGAACTTGGAGATGATTTTACTTGGATATTACTATTAAAAACAGATCTTACTGGTTTTCCATTTGTAAATAAAACGACTGAAATTGCTGATATTCAAATAACATCACTAACGGCAAATGAACATTTAATATCGAATATTTTATTTAATGAATATAAATATTTATTAGTTCGTCAACCAATATTAACAATAAACAATAAAATACAATTAAATGTAATTTTCATATTACAAATAAATAGAAAAAAAAATTAATTTTTATCTTCTAGGAATTTTTACATGAATTTATGGTAATAAATAAATCTGAATTAAATCTTGACGAAGATAATATATGTAAGAAAATAGTTAATAGAACAAATGATCAAATATGTTCAATTGAATGTTCAAAAAGTCAACCATATGATTTTTGGCTTGTTGATAAAGTAAATGGGAAAAAAAAATAATAATTAATCAATCATTTAATAATTTATTTAGTCAAATGAAATGAATAAACAATCATTTCATTATGTTTTTCGTTCTCATCTTGAATTACCAATTCATGAATATAATCATAAATTTTATTTTCTTATACCATATAAACATCAATTTCGTCTTAATATAACACTTAAACAACATCAATCAATTGGATTTGAGTAAATAATTTTGTAATAGATGATTTTCAGCAAAAAAAATCTTCTTTTATATAGATGTTTAGTTTCAATTGCTGAAATATCAATTGAATCATTTTCTGAATATACATTTCAAATAGCGTTAACTATAAATAATACAGGTTTATCTCTATGTTCTATACGTATATCTCTTAAACAAAATCAATTAAAAAAATCTTATTTTATAAAACAAGAATATCCATATGAATATCATATTAGTTCAATGTATGAACAATTAATATTTTTTACTATATCAATAAAAAGAAATCAATGGAAACGAATAATCTTTTCACCAATCTATATAAAAGCAAAAGTCAATGATTTATCGACAAATTTGACATTAGCAGAACGACAATTTTTATTAAAACATGGTCATCATTGTGTCTGCATTTCGATTTGTCATTGTCAAGTAAAATCGTCTCTTTTAGTAACACGAATTTTGTTCTCTAAATATAGAAAGTCAAGATAAAATACTGATCGGAACCAGTCATCAGGGCTGTCGCGAGCAACCAAAAATTGGGGGGGGGGGGGTACCTTATGAAATCCTACTTCCCAACAATTTTTGGAACGAGTAACCAGTGTTACGAGATTTTCCAGATTTTGAACGTTTTTCTAGAGTTTTTCAGTATTTCTAGATTTATTTTTATTTTTCTGGATTTTGGGATTTTGCCCGGATTTGTTCTGGGTTTTCAGATTTGAATTCCGGATTTTCGAGTTTCACATCTAGGAACCCTCGATTTAACCTTTAGAATCGTTTTTAAGGGTACACCTTCCCCTTTCCTGACGTGAAAAATGTTTTCTTCCGATTTTCTGTTTTTCATTCATGCATATACTTGGTATAGTGTCTTCTATCGATCTCCAAAAAAAATCCTTCTTTTGAATGGATTTAGCCCTAGAAAATAACGCGTTTTGAGACCCCCGTATCGAAAACAACTCGATTTTTTCGCTTTGTTCTCAAAATCAATTTTTTAGGAGAAAAACTAGTGTTTCGTTATCATTTCTCCGACATGGTAAGAGGAATCGAGCTGAAACTTTTTTTTAGCATATACTAGTCACTATTTGGGGTGGGTATTTGTTTTATTCCAAAAAAATTGATACTGGTGGATTTTGGCAGCTTTTACAAAAATTGCACTAACAAAAAAACAGCAATTTTGTTAGGGTACATCCGATATTTTGAGTTTTTTATCGAAAGGACAAAAAATATAAGGAAAGCTAAAAAGATACCCACCCCAAACAGTATTCAGTACTTGTAAAAAAGTTTCAATTCGATCGAACATAGGGCCTCTGAGAAACGGGGGCGAAAAATGGGGTCATTTTCACCGATTGCGACCCCAATATCTCATAAAAGACAGCATTTGGAAACTTTGAGTCTAGCACAACTTTTCATATACTCTAGAAAATTTATCTGCCACGAAAGTTTCAAAATTTTCTGATGACACATTCTCCAGAAACTCGGGAAAGGGGGAGGTGTACCCTTAGAGTAGTATAAGTTTTGTTTTCTGAAATACAGCGCAAGACAATTTTTCGAATATTGGGGGGAGTGATCACCCCATCGCGCCGCCCCCCCCC